AAGGCTATTATTATCGACCAAATCCATGTTAATAGGTAATTATTATTTTTAAATATATTTTGGAACTGCTGCTTTTAGCCCGCTATAAATTAAATGAACTAAAACCTTAAAATCCCACATATTCTAACCATAACCATAAAGAATACAAGGTATGATATTGCGGCAGGTTGGTCGCTACGTCAAGCAGGTGATAACAGGTACTATTGGCATAGATAAAATGAAACAAGTTTTAGATTGGAAAGTGCCCATAAGGACAATGTAAACACTATTTGGCGCTTATTCTTTTGCAAATGGTCGCGACCCAGAACTTTTAGTAAATTTCGGAGCGGTTCATTTATTTCCGGAATTATATCGCCGGAATTATATATATAAATACGGTTTATTCAAATTTATTATTATTTTCATTTAATTTTATAAATTATGGAAACAGCGTGGTTGCCTGGGTAACTAATTTTCAGATATATATAAGGAGACATGTATGACATGACATATGACATGACAATTGCAATTTTATGAAATGCCATTTCGTTTCCGGTTGGTAATTTATGGGCTGTTCAGGAGGTTTAAATGAGGGCTTAATATACTTTTTACTCTTTCATAGTAGTACAATAATACAACAAAATTACTCAAAATATTTGGAATTTGAATTAAACTCACAAGATATGCAAATCAACACTTTTTAAAGAGCTTATAATCCAATAAACTACTGTATCAATATCAAATATTTAAATAATATCAGAGATGCTGTGTTAAAGTGAATTAGTAAAGTAACAGATGCATTGACTTACAGAAACATGAAGATAAATAAATGTTTTTGCTTGCTGTTGTTCTTTAGCGACCGCTGTAGCAGCGCCAGATCTCATAACGGTCGCGACCCAAAATAATTTCGCGACCTAAAAATTTTTACGGGCTTTCCAATCTAAACTTGTTAAGATGATCTATGGTTATTATCACATTGGGTCAGTAAGGCCAAACCTGGAATCAAAAAGATATATTCTTAAAAACATGTTTTGTATAGGTACATAAGACTTTGTGAATTAAATCAAACAGGACTTGAATGAAAATAAAATCGAATAAAAAATATAATAGACCGGGGACATCTAAACTCATTTGTATTTTAAAAATAATCTACATACTGTCAGATTCTATAGCATTATTGCTATGAAAAATACATACTATTTACTCTATGTCATGTAATTACGCATTTCTGTTCATAATAGAAAATTAATGTAGGCTAATAATAGTCTCAATAATCATAATTTACCTTGTATAACTTGCTTTCAATTGGTTCCAAAATGTACCTATCAGTCTTTATTTTAGAGATATAAAATATTGGTAAAGAATATCCCAAGATCCTTTGGTTTAAAGTTAAAAAAATATAAAAACAGTTAATATATTACCTATTTTACATATAATATGGCCCATAATATAATCCTCGATGGGCATATTCTGGGCATGCAAATACTTCATCTTAAATTTTGGGTGTCGTTCAACCACTTTATTCCTCAAAACCTCTGAAACACTACACATAGTAAAGCACAGGTCACTAATTAGAATTAACTTCACCCTTGAATTACTTTCTATCATCATTAACATTTCGCTCATCTGCATTGGCATTTTCTACTGCTCGATGGAAATAATAACCTTCCTAGCATTTTTTAAATGATGCAATAATTCCTCTTGTGGGTCATTTTCTTCATGTGATAATTAATATCATATATCCTCATATTAATTGTAGTGTTAACATGAAAATTATATACCAAAAACATCGCAAACTAAAAACCTAATAAACAATTTTATACCGAAATATCAGAAACAAACTTCCAATCAAATCTAAACGGCAAAAAATTAAAATGGCGCCTGGACTTGCCAGAGGCTCCTGGGAGCTGACGCTGACACACAGACAAAAGGACAAAAAGAACAGGACGCCGACGTGCATAAAAATGTTCCGTAGCAGAAATTGACAGAAATCATATAGAAATATTCAGATTTTTGTCTAGGACAGTCTAGAAGGCCATGCTTTCTGCCTGGGTAGAACCGCGCCACAACTGTTTCCAATTTTCCGGTTTACTGTCACCCCCCTGACCATAACCCCAAAAAATGCAGATCTCCTGTCAACTTTCTTTATTTTTTATTTATTCATTATTTTCATAGTGACGTCACAGGTGGTATGCGCGAACTGAACGAAATTGGAGCCGCTATCGATCATACCTTGTATTCTTTGTACCATGTATTATAACCCATTTATAACCATAGAAATTATAACCTGTTATCACTGTTATCTGTCTATGACCGTTATTAGAGCTGTTATGAACATATTATCCCTTTCCTTGTTTATATATTAATAGAAGGATTAATAGACTTGTGTCTAGCCCTAGCAGGCAACTGTTAAGCCCGACCAATCACGTTAGAGTTTTTGACAAACACAAATGAATTAACACACTCCAAATCACAAAATAACCACGCTAACCAACCTGATTGGTCAAGCTTAATAGTTGACTGCTAGGACTAGACACTTCTGAATTTAGAAACGAATATGACTTTTTTTCCTTTTTTCTTGTCACAGTTGAAACAAACAAGGATAAAGCTATTTTCGTAAAACATGCGTGAAACGTGCTAATAAGTAGCCCTCTGAAGTAGCCCAATAGATGTGACCTCGCGCCCTTCCATTTTTGAACGATGGGCGGGTTTAACGCATGGTATGCATCATAGGTATGCATGGTACAAAGAATACAAGGTATCATCGATAGCGGCTCCAATTTCGTTCAGTTCGCGCATACCACCTGTGACGTCACTATGAAAATAATGAATAAATAAAAAATAAAGAAAGTTGACAGATCTGCATTTTTTGGGGTTATGGTTAAGTATTGTTTATTTTTAAGACTTTTTAGTTCATTTAATTTAATAATTACTAAAACCAGCAGTTCCAAAAATATATTTAAAAATAATAATTACCTATTAACATGGATTTGGTCGATAATAGCCTTAGGTAAGAATACTAAATTTATTTCTATATTCGGTATAAAATTGTTTATTAGGTTTTTAGTTTGCGATGTTATGGTAAATAATTTTCATGTTCATTGCCTCTGAATTCACATGAGGACAGAGATGAGGTTATCTATGGAAAAGTAACCACAAGAGGAATTATTACATCATTTAAAAAATGTTGGGAAGTTTATTGTTTCCCATCGAAAAGTAGAAAATGCCAATGCAGATGAACGTATTGTAATTATGATAGAAGTAATTCCAAGGGTGAAGTTTATTGTAATTAGTGACCTGTGCTTCTTTTTATATGTAGATGTTTCAGGTTTTGAGAATAAATTGGTTGAACGACACCCAAAATTTAGAGGAAGTATTTGCATACCCAGAATATGCCCATCGAGGATTATATTATAGCTCAAATTTCCTTTAATGGTAGACAATTATTCAATGCAAATTAGCTTTTTAAGTGACTGAAATATTAAATAGTTTACAATATGGTATATCACTAAAAATATATTACTTTTAGGTACAATTAGGGCCCGATACATTTCAAAAAGTAGATTATTTTATATTAAATGAGGTATTGTACCAACAATCAATTTATATTAATAACGGAGATTAAAAAATAACAGAATAAATAGTTCTTTTTTTATACTACAAAAAAAACTATAGAATACAACAGTATTTAAAAAAATAAATAAAAAGTTATGTCCCGGCTGAGATTCGAACTCCGGTCTCTCGCTTTCTAGCCCGACTCCTTACGCACTGCTCCACAGTAACTTGCTTAGCGACAATTCAATGACGGTATATAAACAAAAAAACAGGTTTATAACCATGGTACAAAGAAAATAAGGTATGATCGATAGCGGCTCCAATTTCGTTAAGTTTGCGCATACCACCTGTGACGTCATACGCCATACAAAAAAATATCCATATTGTCCAATTGCCACTAATAAAAAGAGACCTAAAATAGGGAAGAATTAGGACATAACCCCAAAAGTTATGTTTTGACATCGAGCTTGACATTTGAAAAATTATTTTCACATTTTGACACAATCAAATTTCACAGATGACACAATCTGTTTGACAATTTGAAATTGGCGCGCAGAGCTTGCCGACCAATGGTGCCGTTTATCACCTGTGACGTAATAACCAACCTGCGCAATATCATACCTTGTATTCTTTGTACCATGGTTTATAACAATATTTTAACGATTTGAACTGGTGCGCACAGCGTGCTGACCAATAGCGCCTGTTATCACCTGTCACGTGGCGACCAACCTGCGTAATATCATACCTTGTATTCTTTGTACCATGGGTTTAACGGATTCCCCTCTAAGAAAATCGTAGGGGAATACAAAAATGCAAATCGGGCAAGGCGCCATCTAGAATACAGGATTTTACTAAGCCCTCATTGTATATCTATTTATACATAATCAAGGATATTATGTTGTGAACCTGTTGTAACATGGTTGTAACGTTATAACTATAACAAAGAGTAGATAAGACTGATAAGACAAATTGAATTTTATATTTTTTCATCCCAGGACCGATAGTAAAATATATATTTTATGCATACCTTCCTAAATATCAACGAGATGAGCCATCGGAAGAAACGGATCATAGTACAAAACAGAAAGGTGACCTTTTTTCTTTCCACTTAGGATATTAAAATTATATACTGTGTTATATACACAGGGGAACTGTTTACATTTTATGCGAATGCCAACATCCTATTGTTATTGTTTGTTATGTTGCCAAGTCTACCGGAGATTTGTCAAAGCCTTTGTTTATTTTTTATTTTGTATACGTATATTTACTTTGTTTATTTTTAATTTTGTATACTTTGGGGAAATCTTAAGAAAATAATAATATAATTAGAGCTTACTACATTTGAAAATTTCGATATTTATAATTTTATTTAGTACTTAATATGATTCAAGTCAAAGATTACAAGAAATATTTGTAAATTTCTGTCATTTTACATCAACCGTTATGATTAATTTTTAATCTGGCAACGCCGCTCTGTTGTTATAGTATTTTCTATTTTTTTTTTTTTTTTCCTATTTTTGGCCACTTGTCTATTACGACCAGAGATTACGACATTCAGCCAGCTTATTTCTTAATATTTAATTAGCGTTTAAAATCGGACAAATACAGACTCACACACACATTTAACACCCATGTCCGAGGCCGGAATCGAACCGGCGACCTTGCGTCTACTAGAATGCGGCGCAATCATTTCGACCACAAGGCCGACAATATTTTCTATAGTAGGGGCAAGGAGAAGATGGAGAGAAGTGGAGAGAAGGAACTAACCTAAAAATTCTAAGATTTTATTTTGAGCGAGATTGTTTTTTAAGTATTAAATGATGAAATTTTGTATTAAAATTGTAGTTCTATCAATAAGTTTATCAATTTTACATATAGAAAGTGCTTCATCAACATTAACACCAAAAAATAGAGGTAATAAAAAGAAAATTCAAGAAAAACCATTGAAAATTAGGACAGGTCCTCAAAAATACTCCGTTTTTGATAAAAGTTTTGTTACTGAAACTGTAGTTGCTAAAGATATTCTAGAGAATTATCAAGCCTTTTTCACTGAGACTGACGAATATAATTTTAATGGTTTAGTTTTAGGTTATGTTACCCCGGTAAGTTTATAGTTTAGTACAAAATATATTTAATTTAACTTATTTTTTCAGTGGAATAATCATGGGTATGATGTAGCAAAGATATTTGGGAATAAGTTTACACACATAAGCCCTGTGTGGCTTCAAATTAGAAGAAAAGGACCAAAATTGTACAGTCTGACTGGCACTCATGATATTGATAAAAAATGGGTAATAACTGTAAAAAATGCTGGAAGGGAAAGAAAGACAAAAGGTCTTTTACAATTAGATAAATGTGACATTTTGGCTACATTAAAGTTATTTTATAGTTCTTCCGAGAGTTATATTTGAGGGTTGGACATTAAGCGATTATACTGCACTTTTCAATGACAAGAATGAATTAAATTCCTTGACACAAACCTTAGTGGAGTCTTGTAAACAATATAGTTTTGATGGTTTTACTCTCGAGGTATGGACACAAATAGCTGGGGCTGTAAAATCTGATATTTTAGTTGCATTTGTTAAATTTGTAGGTAATATTATTTAACTATAGAGAAAAAGTTATATTTGTTTTTAATAATATAATATTTTAGGTGATACCTTTGCTTTAGAAAAATTACATTTTGTATTGGTTATACCTCCTAAGCGAAGTGAATATGAATTATTTACAAAGGATCAGTTTGACCAGCTATATGATCACGTAACTGCATTTTCACTAATGACTTATGATTATTCAAATTCCCAAATACCAGGTAAAACATAATTCAGTTTGCAGCGACAGTTTTACTATTTTTTGAAGTGAAATTTCTTTACGAGCGCTGGGAGAAAAAAATCAAGGCCGTGACACGACACGCGACACAACAGGCGAGAGGAAAAATGGACACCATACGGCTTAGAAATTATCTGATTTAAATTAAATTGAGTCTGTCGATTGTTGACTGTGTATGACCCGTGTCACCGTGATAGTAAGGGTGTATTCCGTTGCTTACCTTGGTTATGGTTTTATGTTCCATTTCTATCGGTTTCCCCTTTGAACTGTCATAAAACTAACCAGCGCGAGAAGGCTGGTTTCTCTGGTTGTGTTTGTATCGTTTGTATGGTGTTTGTCATTCAATTTCATACATCAGTTTCATTTATGTGACAGAAATCAAGAAAATATTAGAAGTTCGAAGTGAAATTCTCATTTAATTTCTATAATTTGTAATAATATTTTGTATTTACATCCAAAAGCAATGGAGGTAGGGAGTACAGGTAAATAAATTTAATTAACTAAATAGAATGACTTTTTAGGACTATTTAAACTTATCATGCAACCATTGTTTCTTAAAGTCAGGAACATTTAAAGGAAACATGAAAAACAAGACAACAAGTAATCATGAATGTTTTGTAAGCTATAAAAATATAAATTTAGATTTATTTATTTATTATTGATGATATGTTTTAATATTGGACCTGTAAATCTTCACTTGAGCTGTCTAACAAGTTTAACAGTTTATTAATAAAGTACTTTTCAATATTAAACTCCATTGAAAAGAAGAAGCAAACGTAAAAGCAGAGAATAGGCACATTAAAAATGCATAAAAGATAAATTTTATAATAGAGGTATTGAAATTTAGAAAACGTCAACATTTGACGTTTCCATTATTTTACCAAACCGTTCCGTATCAAACCGATGTTTTTCAGGAACCGCTCTTTACCGTAGTTTACCGGTCTGGTTCGCCTGGTTTTGCAACGGAATACAGCCTTAGTTTTGACGTAAGAAACGTCAAAAGTTGATGCCGTCCGATCGCCACCAAATTTGGTGGGTAGGCTATTTGAGCGACGGTGCAAAGGTGCACGGTCTCACCCTGCAGAGTTGCATACGACGCCACATACGGCCAGATTATTAATTTAAGATGACAAAAGTATTTCATTGCGAAAACTCAAATAAAATATTTTAAAATCAATTGTTTGTTTCAGAAACAATCGTATAATGACTATACTAGATAACCTTACTCAACGTTTTGAACTGTGCAGGCAAAACGTTGTACAGGGTGATTCATTAAGAATTGCTAACGGCTATATCTCAGAAACTATTGGTCATACGACTTCAGGAAAAAAGAATTGTTGGCTAAAGAGGCCAAGAGAAAATGCTGGAAATTATTTTCAAGTTTGTATGGCCTCCGATAGGGGGAGCAACCAGTACTCAAAATCATAAAAACGCATTTTTACAAAAAAATAAGCCTAGAAAAGGTATACTAAATCCATGTTACCTATATGAAAATGTAATTCAATTCTGAACAAATTTTGGTATATAACTTTTTGCTCTTACTCTTAAACTAAAGGGTGGGGGAAGGTTCAAACTTGTTGAGATCAAATAATGTTGTGTAACTTTTTTTTTGGATCGATTTCATCGAATTTAGTGTCATTCGAATGAAAATGAAGTATTTTAGTCACCGCGGCACCGCAATTTAAAAATGCAAATTTAATTGATTAAGCCAGAGACAACTACGAGACGATCAAGCCCATACGGAAATTAGATCTGCTGGATCTCTGGCCAGATCAAACTTCCCTGGAAAATTAGCAGCTGCAGTGAGAGAGCGCTGTTTCGCAAATTTAAATCACCCGGTACATATTTTACTGTTTTTATTTCCGCTTCCGTTGTCCACGCCTCCTGCTAGTCCCGCTCTACGCCGACGCGACGACGCCGTAGCAGAGGCCATTGCTCATATTCTCATATATCGACAGATTAAGTCGCCTTTAGTATTTGACAGAGTTATTGAACATTGTAAGCATCGTGTTCAGAAATTCAATTATTTTTTACCTTTTAGTTATACATTTTTCACCCCTTAAGGGATGTTTTTTTGGCAATTTTTTTTTGCTTTTCCTTAGCTATTTAACACTGAAAACCATATATCTCCAGATATCACCGTTTTCAAAATATAGAAAACTACCCCTTTTCACCCCTTTATGGGATAATTTTTTTCCTACAATTATTTTTGCTTTTCCGTAGCTATCTAACACTGAAAACTGTATGTCTCCAGATATCTCCGTTCTCGAATTACGAAAAACTCCCTTTTTCACCCCCTCACGGGTTGAAGCAAGCCATCCCTATAAAAAACATTGTCATCGGAATTGAATCAACATGTCAAATTTCAATTTCCTACGATAAAGGGAAGTGGTTCTAATAATTCAACTTACAATATTTGACCTGAAGAATCATACATACATACATACATTGCAAGTTAGATAAAAGCTTAAAAAAACGATTTTTCGGATAAAGGTGGAGATGCGGGGACGCATTCTTTGTCGTTTTGTAGTTGCTAAGGATAGATCTTTCGTAGGTTAGAAGGAGATAGTGGAACTCCGTGGAACTTTTTTTATAAGTCAACCCAAACCAAATAACAAATTAATTTTAAATAAAAAAATTATCCCGAAATACTTATTAGCAACCCGTTACATTTTACAACTATCTAATAAAACTACATAAATTATTTGAAGTACATATCTGATGCTTGATGCTGTGTTTTCCATGATAAAAGCTTTGACACATTAATCACTCATTAACTGAACGGACATAAAATTCTGTCACTTTCCGGACACAGTTGACTTAATACCGTATGATCGAATAAAAACGGCGTCAGCGATGGCTATGAAACGAAGATCGCTGTCATTTTATATGTAAAATTATATGGAAAATGTCATCGATCGTCATTTCCAAGCCAACTGGACGCCGTTTTTTTTCGATCATACGGTATTTGCGTGCGATTGATATATGTGAACTTTGTGCGCGCGCCTAGCTACGCTCAGGATGCGTTTAGAAAAAATTATGAGATATTACGAACCAGCTATTTTACAACATGTAAGAAGCATTTTTGATTGGTTTGGAGCAATTTGCAAAATCCAATTTTGTCGTCGTAAATTGATAATCTGGCCGTATGTGCGACGTTTCGTTTACGTCTTCATCAGGGTGGGACTGAGGATTTGATATTGAAGAAAAATGTGGGTCACTTTTGGCATAATTGGGCACAGGCTACAGGATGACGTTCTCGACGTTTCGAACCGATGCCTCTAAATGGACGAAATCATCAAAATTTTTCTTAATCCGGTGTTTAACCATAGTAAATTTTTGTTATTTTTAATATAAAATTGAATTGAAGTGATTAAAAAGTACTCCCTCAATACAAAAAGAAATGCAACGAAATTACAATAAAGGAATTAATAATAAATCAAATTCAATACAAATTTCACTGGTTTGAAATGACGCATAGAAAATTGTGACGTCACCTATAAGCATTTGACTGAATAGTTCACAGGGCGCGAGCCTCTGAAGAATAATATTATGGTGTGTCTAGTTCTCTGCTACCGTATTTACACCATATATCTTAAAATCACGTTAGATTTTTCTATTTTTAATAAGATCGTTAAAAAATACGTTTTTATGTGGGATTATTCTTTATTACCTCAATATTAAATTTACTTCTATATTTTTTACTACTAGAAATTAAAACTTAAATTTTTATAATTAACAGGTTACTGCCATTTTTATCGAAGCACTAAACACTACCAAAGTTGTTCGGATGTTCGAGGCGTTCGAGGGCTCCAGGTTAGATTTGTATACACTTTTGATAGGTGACGTCAGAGATTGCAAAAGTGTAAATTTGAAATTCTTAATATTGATTAATTTTTTTTTTAAAAAATGGGATGAAATTGAAGTAAAATAAAAAATACGGGTGTCATAAAATTGTATGAAGATTAATTATTTGCAATAAAAAAACTCTGGTTAAACTCCGGATTATGGGTCAATTGGAATCAAACTCGGCATGTGGATAGATGTACCAGAATAGAGTCCTCAGACGGACAAACGGCTATTTTAATACAAATTTTGTGAAAGTAGATTAAATTATTTATTAATTTTTAATTTATTACTTTTTCAACATTTTTTCAAAATATACTTTTCAAAAATGTCCTTCAAATCCTTCAATTTAATAGCTGTTAGTAAGAAGTTTCACATTAAATATGCGAACACAATTTTTTTTATTGTAGGTCCAAATGCTCCATCTTCATGGGTTGAGGATTCTATAACATCTATCAGTTCAAATCTTACCCAAAGACCAAAGATTTTAATGGGTTTAAACTTTTATGGAAATGATTATACAGCATCTGGTGGAGGATCAATTATATTTCATGATTATATTAAACTTCTTAAAAAAAATCCAGAACAGAAACTTAAATATAATCCTGAAGTAGAAGAGCATTATTTTGATTATAAGTATGATGTTTTAATGAAAACAAATACAAATGCAAAATGTTTTTTAATTTTTAGGGACGATAAGGGTGTGAAACATTTGGTATTTTATCCAACCTTGTATTCCATATTTAAAAAAATTGATTTAGCACATAGATTAAACACTGGTATTTCTATATGGGAGATTGGACAAGGATTGGATTATTTCTATGATTTACTGTGATAATTTCAATATAGATAAGTTAGCATTTCAAATTAAAAGTTTTAAATAGATAAAGTTAACATCCAAATGGGTGATGCATTTATATATTTACAGAGATAGGGACCTATTCAAGAAACTTTTAGTCCAACTGTATATTTTGTTACCTACATTAAAAAATTATTTAAATTTGCCATTTTACTTATTTCAATGTGTTCTTTATTATTAAATATTTTTACTAAATTATTGTATTTTATTTATTAGATATAAATTATTAAGTTTCTAAATTAACAATAAATTTACATTATAAAAAGTTTTTCTTAGGCTGCTTGAGGTTCTTGGAATTTTCTCATGGTCTTCATGGCTTGAGGTAGACGAAGTACTCTGTATTGAAGTAACCAATTCAATTTGGTTGGTAGGTAACTTAAACAAAATAATTTATTATGAAAAATTATTAGCACATACAGGGTGGCGCGTCTCATACGACGCCGAGGATCGAAGGAGAACAGAACTGGAAAGAGAGCTTTTAAACAGTTTTTAAAAAAAATGCTGTAAATTAACCTACATATGGTTAATTTACAGCATTTTTGATATTGGAGATGGAGAACTACCCTCTATAAAACCGTCCCAGATACTGGCTTTTGTCAAAGCCCTGGGACTGTATGATGAGTTATGATTCAAGAAAGGGGGACACAATGGATCTGTAAGGTCGAAGTGATTAACCCCCCTCCCACTCGTTCTAAAAATGTAATGGAACATCCTATACAGAGTGGTCCGAACTGTATTCCGGAAACTTCGGCAGCATATTCTGCAGATAAAAATAAGTAAAAAACTTCATACAAATATATGTCCTAAAATGTTTAGTTTCGGAGATACAGGGTGTAGAAGTTTCATATTTATTTCGATTTTTTCTAAATAATTTCTGAAGTCACGTCAATATTTGGATGAAAATTGGCGTCTGGAGTTTTTTGACGTGAGAAATTTGATTTTGATATCAATACGACTCCTATTTGTAGGGAGCGCCACCTACATGTGTTTTAACTGTTTTGAAGGATAATAACTTCTCGTCTGTACCTGTATAAAACTACTGAGTGAAAAAATACACATTTCCGTGATTTTTTACGTAAAAAATGTTTGTAGGCGACAAAATTTTAGTTGCATCTATTTGCCCCCCCCCTAATTTACATAATACCCTAACCCAGTTTGTAAATATATGTTATCTCTGGGTTAAAAACATAACTCAAGAATATTTGGGACAAAACTAAAGCAAAAATAACAGCTTTCAACGTAATGACATAATGATTGTTATAATGTACAAGTATATGTTTTTTTATCTATTACTATGGAGTACATCATAGAATTTTATTTTATTTTTATCTATTTACGCAAACTTAAAAATTGGTAGTATTGAGAGAAAGAATAATTATGTTTTATATATTAAATTGATGAGTCGGTTTCTTAATAAAGAAAAGTTATTTATTATTATATCAGTAAAATTATCAGATGTCGAAGAGCTGTGAAAAGATCTTTTTAGATTGAAAGTAAGGCAAGTGACGATAAACGTCTATTTTTATGGAATCTCTACAATAAAGTTTAATGCATTTCAAACATGAAAAATGTCTCTCAACCCAAGTACTTGTAAATGGTGTAGTAACAAACAAAAGAAACAATTTGAAAGCCTCTGGAAATATATTTCCAGGATTATTCTACTTAAATTATTTTATAATCAAAATTATCATATCTATTGCAATTTATTCATTAATTTACGTTGGTCAATAACATCTTTTGTTTGTTAAATCACTATTAAATGCGTTGGAAATGTATCAAAAACATATAACAAGTTTGTTAAATCAGATGTTAAATGCGTTGGACATTTTTTATAGGATTCTTTAACTTTCGGATACGCAAAAGATAAATAAAAATAATTGAGACATACGGGTACCTATCTGCAAACATTATTTCTAAATGTATAACAGTGTTATCTAATATTTCATAAAATAAAATTCGCAAAGATATTTGACTTAGCCGCTTTTATTAACACATCGAATTGAAATAGCACACTGAGACTTTTCTGTAATATCTGTTGTATCGTCTTCTTGCACCGAATAAAATAACGCGCTTTTTTACTTCGGATTCTTTTATTTCTGTGACGTGTTCTGAAATACAACTTTTTTTCGAATTTTCATATAAAAGTTTCGATGTACTTAAACAGCCGTTAAACGGTAGCCTACTAAAATGCCGTTAATAGATATTGTGACGTCGTTCATGTCGGCGGAAAGTAATGCCTTCCTATAAGCATTTTGCAAGAGCACCTGTGGCTCCGTGGCTGAGGCTATCGCTTCGTGAGCGCATGGTCCGTGGTTCAAATCTCACGCCGACCAAGACTTTTTTATATATGTTTTTGCATATAGCGTGATCTTATTGCATTGGTCCAACCAAAGAGAGTGACTCTTTGGTTGGATTGGTTTAGTTATTTGGCGGGTTGGTTAGCGTGGTTATTTGGAGGGTGTTAATTCATTGGTTAGTTGGTTGGTTTTTACTAATTTATATTTGTTTTTTATATTTTTTTATCAGTGTCGAGGTTAGTTGCGTTGGTTAAGTTGGTTATTTGGTAGGGTGGATAGCGTTAGTTCTTATAAAATTCCTATATTTTATAAAACCCGTCAAGTGCGTCACATCAACGACGTCATACCTATTAACGGCATTTTAGCAAGCTACCGTTTAACGGCTGTTTAAGTACAGCCTAAAAGTTTTAAATGCTACGTATAATGAATCATAAAATATCCCCTTATGAAATATCGGGAATATCCCCTTAACTTCTAAGCCTACCGAGCCTCCACGACTTCATGCGAAGGCGACAGGAGATTTCGCCTAAGCCCCGCCTTAATACGATACAACTCCGATTTACGTCGCGTCGCTACCGCACGATGAGTTAGATAGAGACAGAAGACTGCCGTACGTCGTGCATCGACTCTGATAGTAGGTGATGGAGAAATCGCCGAACAAAGACACTCCAACGGTCAAAATTATTTTGTTTTCTAACGCAGTGGCACAGTCAGCGTACGCCAGCGATAGTGAATATTTTAATATACAAGACAATAATATACATTAACTTAACAACAATAATATTGATTATTAAAACACACTTCCGCGTATTAACAGTATTTTTATGTATTGGATAGTAAATAATGTAATGTAATAAACCGCTTAAATTCTGCCAAAATTTTAGGGTAGGCGCCGCCTACCTTGCCTACCCTGACGAGCCGCCCCTGGTCAATACATGTCATTATTGACAAAAAATACGATAAATTTGAGAACTTTTTATTTTTTTAAATTAACCATAAATTTTTCTTCGAAGAAATGACGGGAAAACAGTTTCTGTTGAAATTTTGACACAAAAACATTTCAAATTTATGATTTCACTCTAATAACTATTTAGTCAACATGTTTAATTTATGTCAATGATGAGGTGTTTTGATAATTTCGAGTCCAAATATCTTGAGAATCATTACTCTTAGCAATTTTTACTAAGAGACTTTTTTTACGTTAAAAAACATCGTGAACGTATATTTTTTTACTCAGTAGTTTTATACAGGTACGGACAAAAAGTTATCACTCTTCAAACCAGTTAAAAATATGTAGGTGGCGCCCTCTACATCTAAGAGTCATATTGACATAAAAATCAAATTTCTCATGTCAAAAAACTCCCAGACACCAATTTTTATCCAAATACTCACGTTACTTCAAAAATTATTTGGAAAAAATTGAAATAAAAATGAAACTTGTTCACCCTGTATCTCCGAAACTACTTTTTCTGCCGAAGTTTACGGAATATAGTTCGGACCACCCTGTATATTAACTGATTTTCGATTTCATTTCAATTCCACTTAAAAACTACAAATTTAGTGTAAAAATAAGTTCCAATGGCAAGGAACATCCCAAAGAGAATGCTGATTTAGAAAGTCTTCAGAACAATGAATTATTCTGTATATGCACAAGATAATTTTTATAGCACAAACATTAATGCACTTACTTTTTTAAACCTAGAATATATAAAGAGGAGGCTGGTACACTGCAAAAGAATTCCTCTCTTCTAATGGCCAATATGGTTCTCTTAGCCACTACTTTTGGTTCTAACATGGGACTGTATGTAGGCTTACACCCTTCAAACATCCCAGTATTTATAAAATACGGGGCAACCATTGTCAGATTTATAGCACTATACTTTTTGGTCTGTAACAAAAATTGGATTAGCAAAGTCAACATTATTTTTCATTTTTTGTTTCAAAATACTTTAAGTTCAGTCCAAAGACTTTCGTGAAATCCGATTGTAGCATATTTTGATCCACTATAATCTGTACAACTGTGGGCTCCTAAAAGACCAGTTAGACTACCAATGGTAACTATGTGACCGCTTCCATGTTTAATCATTGTGGGTAGAAAAGCTTTTGCAGTCTAAAAAATAAGTAGATCTCTTAATGAACTATATTTGAAGGGTCTAGGGGAAAAACACGATAAGCGCCATTTCACTGATTTTACAGGAGGGCACCGAATACTTGATGTGTATTCTATATTTTTACTAGGTATATACCATAGGATTTAACAACTTATTGCGCTGCTGAGTTTATACATTTTGTAGGGACCAGTTAGACCTACTATAATGCTGTAAAATTTGAAAATTAAGGAATTGGCACTTATTAAGTTTTCCCCTGGACCCTTCATTTTGTATGCAATATTTCAGTAATATTGCAGAAAATGTTATAACAAGTTATATTACATAAATATTGCTGAAAATAAAAGAATTTCGGACTTCCATTGTCTTTATTTATTTTGAATTACACTAAAAAATGTACAAAAGGGTGAAACAATGAAGTCAGGTTTTGCGGACCATCTTTGGTCAAAACAGCACAATATAAAGTGGTCGGAAGTTCGGGTTGTCCATAGGAAATATCACTGGAAAAAACGTAAATTTACAGAAGCCGTTTTTATAGCAAACAATAATAACATCTTTAACAATCTTAGTACGGAAATATCCACGATATGCCAACCACTGATAAGACGCACCAATGCAGACATTCTCAGTGGCCAACCTCATGGTTTACCACTGTGCACCCAACTTCCTCACGGAGTATACTAGGGCTGGAGTATACTAGGGCTGGAATTTCTGGCCTTGGGTGCCGATTTCGAGTGTACGAAGAGTACGGTCAACACGCTTAGCAAAATAAGATGTACCGAATAAAGACAGACGGCCAGTATTTTCCCAAGCGCATGGAATCTAGCGTCAGATTAAGTGGTTATGTAATAAATACTTCGTATTTTTGCTCTCTCCAACTTACTAGATTGCCATAGCGATTCACTCCTATACATGTAAACGCCGACTTAAGGTTTCGCTTGCCAGCAGGATATAAACCCAGTAGTTTTAGGAATTAGATTAGTTTACACTTGGTAAAGGTCAGTCATCCATCTGACCGAAACGTTGTGTAAGGCAAAATAAACCAAGACAATGGACGTTGAAAATTATTTTAGTTTCGATACTGAATCATTATCTACCACATTCAAAGATAAATATTGCTGTTAAAAAAAATATATAAATTTAACATTTATGCTCTCAGATTGTTTTATTTAATATTCACTATTCGCTAAATCGTATTATCGAAAAAAATCGTCCAGTTGGCTTTGGAATGACGATCTATGTTAATGATCATAAAACTGTGCATATAAAATGACAGCGATCTTCATTCCCAAGCCATCTATGACACCGTTTTTTATCGTATGGTATAATAAGTTTTACCAACGAATACCAAATAGTGCGTATATTGATTTTATTATCAGACAGTGCTAAATTGTTTATAGTTTTGAAGAGCTAACCTTATGATCAAAATTTTTAATTGTTATAAGGCTTTATGCTTTACACCCATAGGCTTTGAGTCTAAAGCCTAGTTTTCATGAATCCGAATTTCGAACTTTTTAAAATCAAACAAAAAAACCTTCGAATTTAACGTTTTCATGTATCTAAATATTCTATTATTTTGCTCTTTAATTTTATGTAGGGAGCAAAAACAGGAAATAGCCATCTTATCCGATATTCAAGCAGCACTAAAAGCGATCAACTCAGTAACCATCATTTGAAGTTGGTCAAAGAATGCTTAGAGAAGCTGAACAAATTAGGCAAAGAAAATAAAGTCCTCCTACTCTGGGTCCCGCTCACCAAGGGATAGAAGGCAATGAAAAAGCAAACGATCTAGCTAGAAAACGAGCGAACACTTCACTAAAGAGGACTACAGACGTTCATCCATACTTGACAAGTGTACTTGTGCAAGCGTACTTGTATAAGAATTTTAAACGTGTGTAGGAACAAACTTGTACAAGTATTTCGACTTGTGCAAGTGGCATAGACTTGTACGAATTTTCTTCATGCCCCAGTGATTTGCGCAAGTATGCATGAACGTGTGTATCAAACTTGCGCAAGCCTGAAGTTGATTCTAGTAGGTTTATTGGTTGGTTCTTATTTGTTTGTTACCAGAAGATAGACAAAAAGGGCTAGTGAACATGAAAAAAGTATGCGGGAGGTATTGGTGGAGTTCATTAGTATTTATAGAGAATCTCTTTGTTTATGGCAAGTAAAATCAAAGGACTATCATAATAAAAACAGAAGAGAGGCTGCATGTAAAAGTTTAATTAAAAAATTGCAAACAATTGATAAAATTGCAAACCGCGATTTGATTGTAAAAAAATAAACAGTTTAAGAACAAATTTTAGCAGGGTAAAACTTCAATTCATTTAAAATATTAGTATGCGAATAAATATTCCTTTTTAGAAGGCAGTTTTTGCATCAAAATCGACGGCTTTTCTTTTTTCTTTTTGTTTAAGCAGAATAACGAACATCGCAAGAGCTAGCGCGTCTTCTTCGTCCATTTTTACCTACTAAAACCTGACTAAAACTATTTAAGTGCGCTTGTATTGTGTGGAGTCAATGCAAACTTGTGCAAGTACGTTTGCATAAGTACAACTTGTCAAGTATGCATGAATGTCTGTAGCCGCCTTAAAACGGAACTGCAGAACCTGAAAGACACCATCCGTAACCTGGAATGGAAATCCTCCAACGGTCCAAGACACTCGAAAGAGTTCCTCAGGGTTAATGATCGAGAAAAACAAAAGATTTTCCTTGATTTAAGTAAAAACATTCTTCGGATTATCACGGGGTTTCTAACAGGATACTGTCTCCTCAACGAACACCTCAGTAGACTGAAGCTGAAAAACAACGGCGAATGCAGATTCTGTGGGGAAATGGACAACAAACGGCAATGTTGGGTTCATATGAACTCGGATCAACGCACCATGTTTGTATAACCGGATCTTAGTGCTACATATTTTAATGCTAAAAAAGTGTTGACAAATTCACAACAAATTCACCAGGGACGTCCATGGGCTATCATCAAGTCTAATAGCAACTATTAACATTTTTTAATGTGGTTAACTGGGCAGTAGGTTGAAGTACTAATTTCTCATCAATAAATTATGAAAAAACATTCTTATAAACATGGGTGAAGAAATACATATTAAAGATACAGGATGTTACATATCCGGTGTTATCACTTTTTATCCATCTGATTCCATCAGATCTCCAGATCATCTGTTTTTCCGTTGTTTTATCTTATTTTACCTAATCACACTTAAACAGCTATTAAAAACTTACCCAATAACAGGAGAGGGTATTCACTTTGTAAGTTTTCTCGATCATGTAATCCGGTATGTCCAAAAACGGTTGTCCGCAAACTATTCCTGCATTATTAATTAAAATGTCTACAGTTCCAACTTCGTCTTTGACGATATCGGCGTATTTGTAAATCATCTCTCTATCCGAAAGGTCGACGGCATACGTGTGAATTTTGTAACCATCTTGTTCTACCTTCTCTTTTAATTTTGCCATTGCTAAACAGATAAAAACATGTCTTGTTATTTTACACATTTTTGAAAATTTTTACATGTAAATAATACGCAGTCTATGTCGCAGGCGTATAGAATAATCCGGATTTTTGCATCCTAGCTCTTAAAATACTTCCACTTATTTCTGGGACACCCTTTATATCTAAATGCTTAAAATGCCAGCTTACTTAATACTCAGACTAATCGATTATACGAGGAAAGCCTGAAAAGTTTCTAATGATATCTTGAAGGGTGTCAATCTTTTTCGATGTTTAGTTCTTATTTGACGGTTGCTTGAGTGAGTCGATATAAAGATTGTTATATAAATGGAGAAAAGTATCGGGTGACCATCAAAAAAAGTAATACACCTACGCAAATCTGAGATTAGTTGTCTGTGAATTAATAACAGAACGATAGTTATGTGAGATGGATGTCGAGAGACGGGCTATACTAAGGGCTGGTAAAGGTTAGTTTTAGGTCGATATTTCCGTATGTAAGAAGAGTACAATGCGTTTATAACATACTGAACAAAGAGAGAACAGTAAAAACGTTGCCAAACGCATGAAATAAACCGAGAAACTGTGTACATTGCTAAGAGACGTGGAAGGAGATATAGCAGATTCGTCGCGGTCGAGTCGACCGTGTCGACCCAATCAGTACTTAAAATTCTATCTATTCTCATCTTTATTGTTCTCGTTATTTATTATTCGTATACTTTATTTGTTTATTAATTAACGAGTCGTTGTAATTTTCCCTATAGCTTGTAAATTTTTAAGTGCATGTTAGAAACACTTGCACTTTTGGTAAAAATAAGTGGAATTGAGTTGGTGTTCGACAGTGGTCACGCTATTAGAACTCTGAATTCTAAAAACGATACCTCGGAATCCATTAGGAATAATTGGTTGTAGTTTTTTTTTCAAAAGCTTTCTTAATATTTCTGCTATATTTTCTTCGCAGACAATATGTGAAAATCTTTATAAATAAGAAAGTTATACGATTGCTGAAAGTTGCTAAGCACTAAAAGGAAATGGACGGGTTTTTGTAAATTTTTGAATGGAAAGAAACCAAGCCTATCGAATTTTTCTCATTTAAACATCTTGTAAAAGATCCGAACTTCAAAATAAAAAAAAATCAATATACTGACCCAAAAGTATGAGTTGCCAGCATGGCACATCCGTCTTTTGGTTCTATGTACCTCTTACTTATTACAAAATTCAGATTTTTACCATATTGTGACACACAAACTTTGAAGTGATTCTCTAAAGATTTCGCCTGTCTATCGTTTTTAAACGGTTTTATTATACGATTAGTATTAATATGAAGATTTTATAATAATTTAAAAAGAATATAAATATATTTATTAGCTTTCACTTATTAGAAGAATTTCAAGAATATCAATGCCTTTTGACATATCGAATTTTCGTTTGATAAATATCTACCTTTTTCGTTAACATCCCAAACAATCACTTTTGCTTTATATTTGACTAGTCTGGTAACAAGTTCTTGTCCAACACCTCCCGCACCTCCTGTGACTAGAATTGTTCGTCCCCTTAAACTTTTAAGGGTCCTAAAAACAACAGAATTAGTTATCACCATTTTATACCGGGTGGTGCATCGTCGTTGAAAACAGGAAATTCCATGCAAATTTTGAACTTTCCAAATATTGGCTCCCCTATTAATTTTACAGCTAATCGTAAATAGTTTTTTTAAAGGTCTACGTATGCTGAATACACATGCCAAATTTGAACAATTTTGGACCGATTTTAAGTAATTTATGAAAAACTGCATCTATTTTTAAATTAAAACTGAACAGGTAACAATGCTAAACCCTTAGAAAACAATAAAAGCTAAACCAATCAATGTCAGCATACCTTAAGTTGTCAGCCTATTATTAAATCATTATCAAATATAATGTGTTGTGCTGTCTGCACTACTACATTTAATAGCTACGCTTAGTGTCATTGTCTGGAAACTTATATGGTGAAATTTTGATAAAATAATTTAGTACTCACTAAAAACACGGTATGTCGCTAGTGGTAGGAAAATAATTTTTAGAGGTTACTAGTTTATTTGGTTGCCTGTGATATGAATATACAGGGTGTTTCCTAATTAATCTAAAAAATAAAAAATCGTTAGAAAACGGGTTAAGGCGGACTCTTAATAAGTATATTTATTTTTTTCTCGGCAACCGTTTGATGAACAAGAAAAACCCGAAAGATCAATTTTGTTGAAAAAGGATGGCCAGTCAAGAAAAAAATATATTTTCTTTAAAAAAGCAGTAGTGTACCATTTATGTTAAGCAAAATATCGATTTTTTTAAAATTTTTACACCCTGTAGATCAGAAAGGAAGTACTTTAGACCCAATGGTTATATAAAAATTATTTTAAGAACACATGCGGAATCACACCACAATTTTTTAGACTAATTAAAAAACACCCTGTATATTGTCAACTTGACAATGATTGTTGATAAATCAAAACATACCTTTTCTGTGAAAAACGCCCGATTTTCGCAGGAAAATTTTTGTTTTTATTGAATTTGGGTCTGCGTCTGCAAATACTTAATATTCTATCTATCTAAATTTTAAATATCATAGTCAGAAATAGTTTTATTATTTATTAACTGTAAAAATGGTATACTTATAAGTTTTATAAAATATTGTGATTTACTTTCTACCTTGTAGTCAAAATTTATATTTAATAAACTGTAAAATATATATATTCTTATGTTTTATTAAAGTTACTCTGATATACTAATATATCAGCGTAACTTTAAAACTAAATCCTTTGAAATCAAATATAAACATAAAAAATATTTACAGCAGAAAAGGCGAAGGCGCTGGGTTAAACGTAGTCTCTACTAAGAACACGGAGGGGCGCTTTGACCCAAAATTTTACTATTAAGTGTCATATCTATCTTAATAGAAGATTATTTTCTTTTATCTATGGCTTAGTGTTCCCGAAATGTATATTTGTAATTTTAAATTGGTTCAAATGAGACAAATGCATGACATTTAGAAAATACAATTTGACATTGACAAAATTATATGATGACGACGTGATGACAGCTTAAGGTACGTTGGCATTTATCTGGTTTTGCATTGTTACCTGTACACTTATAATTTAAAAATGGTGCAGTTTTTCTTAAATTACTTAAAAGCGGATTGTCTAAAATTGTTGAAATTTGGCATGTGTATTGAGCATACGCAGACCTTTAAAAAACCTACCGTGTGATAAAAAAAAAACGGCGTTCAGTTGGCTGGGAAATGACGATCGATGACATTTCCCATATAAATTTACATATAAAATGACAGCGATCTTCATTTCATAGCCATCGTTGACCGCTTTTTCTCGATCATACGGTATTTACAACTTTGCTGTAAAATTAATAGGGGAGGCAATATTTGGACAGTTCAAGATTTACATGGAATTTCCTATATTTCCAACGACCATGCACCACCCGGTATACCTAGTACGTTTTACCAAATAATAAAATTTCATTCTTGGTGTATAAAAAAGTATAATTATATCTACCTATAAACAGATGTAGATTTTTATAGAGTTGAGTATTATGTATCTATACGAGGTAGGCCTATTCCAAACACCGGAACACCGTTGAGATAAACACCGGTGTCAGGATAAACACCGGTGTTGTAGATGAACATCGGTGCTGAAATGATCACCGGTGTTGAGATAAACACCGGTGTCGGTGTTGACACCGATACACCGACTGAAACACCGGTGGTCATCACTCTCAAATCTCAACACCGAACAGGTCTAAATACAAGGGTTGTTTTTTACAATTTGTATATAAAAACATAGTAGGCGCCTCTGTCAACTTATATCAAATGTGAAAAATAACCGTCGTTTATAGTTAACTTGACGCCATAGTTCTGGACAGCTTCTTCATTTAAAGCCTCTATACTAAACTGAATTTTTGAAGTTGACGATTGACGAGTTACTCGGAATATGGAATTAAGCCGAGAAAATTTTCGCGCAATAATTTTTTACAATTTTCGTAGACAAGTTTCGGGTTTCGGCGATGAAGAACCACATCAGTCGACAATTTCTCGATCCAAGAACAGGTCGATCCAAGAACAGGTCCATCGACAACGGCAGTCGCCCAGAAAAACGTTGATGCTGTAGTTGATTATAATGGTTGTTTAAGTTCACCAGATGGCATTAAATAATTGTTAAATTAATGTTATGATATTAGATGCGATATGAATATTTTTAAACAGTGCTGTGGTATGCCGGGTCCAGACCAGTAATGTTTTACGACAAAATTGCGACAAATCCAATACATTTCTGCGACATTTTTGTAAAGATCAAAGTGTTATATTTTGTTCGTATATTTTACAAGTTGTCGGTGCAGTGTGGCGTGGGCTGCCAACAGTAGGAGACCAATGAAATCACACATGGTTAATAAAACTCATTCGCAACAACTAAACTTTTGACTTTGTTGTTCTTTTGTCCTTGCGGTGTAGACAATTTGTCTCAAGTTTATCTCGCCAGAATTCCTCATTTTTTGTCGCAAGTTTCTCTTATTTTTGTCTCAAAATCGTGTTTACTTTTTGTCGCCTTGGTCTGGACCCGGCATTAGAAGCTCACCATGAGCCAATGGATCATGAACGAAGGGATTACTGAGAAAAAAATAATTTTATACAGTTCGGAGAAAATTATACAGGGTGGTCTGAACTGTATTCCAGAAACTTCGGCAGCATATTCTGTACATAAAAATAAGTAAAACTGTTTGTATAAATGTATGTCGTAAAATACTTAGTTTCGGAGATACAGGGTGTAGAAGTTTCATTTTTATTTCGATTTTTTCCAAATAATTTCGGAAGTAACGTCAATATTTGGATGAAAATTGGTTTTATACAGGTGTCCGTAAAAAGTTATTACTCTTCAAAATAGTTAAAACACATGTAGGTGGCGCCCTCTACTAGTAGGAGTCATATTGACACTAAAATCAAATTTTTCATGTCAAAAAACTCCCAGACACCAATTTTCATCCAAATATTGACGTTACTTCAGAACTTATTTGGAAAAAATCGAAATAAAAATGAAATTTCTACACCCTGTATCTCCGAAACTAAGCATTTTAGGACATACATTTATACGAACTTTTTTACTTATTTTTATCTGCAGAATATTTTGCCGAAGTTTCCGGAATACAGTTCGGACCACCCTGTATACAAAGACATAAAAATTGATAAATAATTGAACTAAGTAAAATTATAAAATGTATTAAGACAAACAAAAATCAAACTTATCTGTTAATAGATTGATTAACTATTGAAAACACTAACTTACCTTAGTGATAACGGAATAAACATAAGTATAAAAGCTTCTGCCATATAATAGAAACTTAACCATAAAATTACAATCAAATCTAGAATTCCTGTAACTATTCTCAATGCGATCTTATGCAATGTTCGATAAATGGAGTACATAATTCTGAAAATAAAACAAGAGAATTAATTCATTACGGTGTATCATTTATATTATACTTTATAGTTAATAGTGTAATTAATTCTTATTAGTAATAATCAATACAGTTAGCCCAAAACATATTTTGTTTTATAATACAATATTGTATTATAATTTAATTATTATTAATTATTATTGTATATACTATTGCTATAAATATCGTAATCATATAGCTTGTTCAATATTCTACGCCAAACTCTCTAAAACATAACATATTTTTTCTTCGTTATTTTAAATGAAACATCCTGTAGATTATTTTTTTAATAGATGGAGAATCAGAAAATGAACATTTTTTGTATTTAGAGTATTACAAAATTTTTAACGGTAAGATACTCGCGGTATTATCTCATAAACTCGAACTTTTTTCAGCCACCCTGTAGAAGTTATTTTAACTTCTTTTATTTTAACTTTATTTTCCTGAAATGCATCCTAGTACATACCTACTTTAGGTTTACAGTTAAACAAAATTTCCAAGTTTTTTGTTCTAGAAGTTACAGATGCTCGGCGCACTATTACCGGACCCTGTATAATCAGTCCAAGATAATTATTACAGAGTAATTAGTTAGGTATTACAAGAGAGTGTCTTAATTACGTTACCATAATCTACTTTCGAATCCGACCCATGATATGAAATCCACGCATCATTTTTGCCATGTCAATTGAAAACCAAAACATCAGTAATAGAGAAAGTTATTAACAAGATAAATATCATTGATAATAATATAGCCATTAACATAAATATTAATATCGGAAAAATAAAGAAAACATTGAAAGACAAATAAGTAAATTATGCTTTTCTCTTTTTACAATGCACAAAAATAGACGTTGAAGCAAAACATAAAAGGCTAATGTGGGTCACAGTATATCCGTTCAGTTAAAAGCCTATAATCATCTGTAGAATGCAGATTTCTTATTATTGTCATACAATTTATTTTGCAATAACAGCGAATTTTTGTAAATTCTAATAGTATTTGTTATTTTATTGTAAATACCTAAATGATCGAAAAAAAAACGGCGTGAAGTTGGCTTGGATACATACATTACATCGGTTCCATTTACCATATAATTTTATCAGGCGATCTTTGTAATTGTGACGCCACTTCTTAATTATTATGTTGAATATAATATAGTGGTACTTAATTCAAGTGATTTTGATAAAAAGTGTCGAAATCCATAAACTATTAGTTACCCTTGCCCTGTGTGGCCTCTGGTAGTTAAAACAAATCTCATACAGGGTTGTTTTATACCATACCACTTTGTTGTCGAGACCATTTGCGTTCAGTAATTCCTTCAAGTAGCCTAAAGTATGTGGAATTGGAACACTGAGTGAATATATTGAGCTTACATCGTTATGTATAAAACAAAATTGTTTTCAATTTAATAACAAACTTTTTTGAACAGCAGGAAGGTACAGCAATGGGTAATCCATTGTCTCCATTTTTGGCTAATTTATTCATGAGCAGGTTTGAAGTGGAGGCTAAGAATCAGTTTGAGTATTTTCCAAGAGTATGGTTTAGGTATGTGGATGATATTTTTGCTGTTTTTGACACACATTCAGATACAATAGATAATTTTATTTCTAAGTTAAATAATCGTTTTCCTTCCATTAAATTTACACATGAAATTGAGAACAACGACAGATTACCATTTCTAGATGTATTAGTTATTAGAAATACTAATAATTGCCTGGAATTTGATATCTATAGGAAAAATACGACCACACGCAGATACATTCCTAATGAATCACATCATAGTGTTGAACATAAAATGGCTAGTTTAAATTTCTTAGTTCATAGATTACTTAGTTTCCCACATTCCAACGAAAATATGAAATAGAAAGAGATTACATTAGGAATGTAGCTGAGTGTAATGGATATTCTCCTTCACTAGTTGATAAATTAATTAGAAAACGTAGGTATAGGTTAATGATTTCTGAAAATTCGACTTTTCAAGTGAAGAAAGATACGTCTAAATATTTTTCGATACCGTTTGATAGAGAGTTATCCCATGGTCTAAAAGGAATTTTTAAGAATGTCAATTATAAACTTGTGTATAGTGCTAATAATAAATTACAACAATTATTAGGTAATCCAAAAGATAAAACACCTCCACTGGAAAGGTCGGGTATTTATGAAATTTCTTGTAAAGATTGTAATCAGAAATATGTTAGGTAAACTAGAAGATCAATATTAACTAGATTTAAAGAACATTTAGCTCAGATAAGATATGGTAGACCGGATAAATCTTGCCTTGCTGAACATATTGTTGATAATGAACATTGTATAGATCTTAATAATTTAAAATTAATTAAGCAAGTCTCAAATTACAGGCAACTAGATGCATATGAAAGCATCAGAATTAATAAATGTAAAGATAGTATGAACAGAGTCAACGGTCCAATTCCTTCAAGTTCTTTGTTCCTACTACTCTAGAGGCGGAAAGCTAACTGTTACGCTCAGTTGGCTCTGACTCGGTTGGCTAGATTTTGCCACGCCCACTCGGTGCCCACTGAACGAGTATATAAACGCTCAACTTGTAGATTGTACTTTAGTTTATAATCATCTGCTGATGATGCTAACATGGTTAGCGAAACGCGCGTCCAGTGTAAAAGTAAAAGTGTTTTGGTGTATTGTGGTGATTTAGTGTTTTTATTTTGCTTTTTATTATTGCAAAATAATATCTGATCAATAAATAATCTTCAGTAAATATTTAGTATTAAAAACTTTGATACCCTTGGAGCAATAAAGCCTTAAATTTTTTACTGCAATTTCACAAAATTCTAGAGAATAGTAGAATCTAAATATCGTATAATCTAAAATCTACATACATTTTGAGGAAAAAAAATTCCCGAAGCTGACTTCTAAAAAATGTTTTTTTGTCACACCAAGCTATGGGGGCGCATAAAATCTATTATGCTCTAATAATCTAGTTAGAAAAATTAATAAATTTTAAATTAATTAACGTTCGGGTTTATTTTTAATGGATGCCCTCTAACGGACAAACGAAGCACTTTTGTATAGAGGTAAATTATGTGCAATTAATTTATTTTGATTCAAAAAATACGTAGGTAGTTATTCTATGTCCACGGAATATTGGGACACCCTGTAGGTACTTTTTAATACTAGATATTTATTAAAAACATATGATTTTTAAGTAATATCTATACATTTGTCTCTGGATGTTGTGTTTATTTGTAAATCTGTAGTTGGCTAATAGGTATTTGATTTTAATTTTTAAATATTTTTCTTGCTTCAAACTATGGAGGGTAGATGTAAGAAAAAACTGCGACTTTATTTATGTTATGTTATTTTTATTAATATTTTATGTTAATATATTACTTATGCGACTTTATTTTAAAAAGTGATCACCAAAATGGGAAGAATTCACTAAATGACCACAGTAACCCTAACAAGCTATAAGGGATCGAATTGAACTTAGCGGTTATAAATAAAGTGAATTGTGAATTTAGTTAAAAAGAGAGGCAACACACGCCTTCAGGAGTTGCATATTTATTTATATCTTTTTAATTATTTCCTGTTCTAAAATTTTTTGGCGCTTCTTTCAAATGTAGAACTTTTGCTACAGCAGCGCCATCTCAGTGTTTCTTGTTTAATGACCACTTTTCAATACATGAAGATAATTCTCATTACGTATACTCATACATATGTATGCATATCTTATATTTTCTTTTATTAAATAGTCAGATAAAAGCACATTTATGCGACGAAGATACAAATGTATATCACTAGCAGATATGTTGCCAACTCGATTGCCTATAACTGATTTAACTGTTGTTTGATGTAACTTTAATATGAATATTTTTATTAGTATTTTAATACCGGTTTTTTATATAAGTATTAAAAGCCTATATATTAAAGATACATTAACCCAACTAGTACTAAAATTAATAAATGGGAAAATAATACAAGGTAATGAAACATATGGAATTTAGTGCTTTTAACGAAATATACAGGGTGAGTCTTAAATATGTTCGAATATTTTAAGGGCTGATAGCTCTCGATAAAAGAAACATATTATGTTCTCTTTATCATTTTTCAAATAAGTCCAAAATAACCAAGTTATTTAATTTTGAAAATTTCCTCAGAAAGTGTTTTTTGCTTTCTTTTCTGGATTTTCTTTATAGTAAATTAATCTACTATCTATGTTGCCAGGATATTATGTTTTTAACTAAAAATTAAAAAAAATCCAATTTTTTTTAAAAATTCCAAAATTTCAATTTTTTTTCACGAAGAAAACTTTATAGTCGTTTTTCTGGTGTCAAAATATACTACCCTTAGAAATATTTGCACTTAATTAAAACTCACCCTGTATAGAACAATAAAACTACGTATATAAATTTAAATGTTTTTAAGTAAAATTACTATAACTCTTTATTACATATATTAAGAATTAATACCATATCTCTAACCAAACAAATAATGATATATTAAAATAAAAAAAATCAAATTAAGAATTAAATTCTAAAATAAACCATATTAAATCAGAAATAAAACAAAGAGCTTTTTTTATCAAATACGAGTTGATTGGATATGTGTTAGTATAATTAATATTTAAAATACAAATAAGTATAAAATAAACGGAAAAAATAGAATGATGACAAATAACTCTGTCAATTATTTTCTCTGACAGACTATACCTTATTGAATATAATTATATAATAATAACTTTACTTATATGTACTTGTAGTTATTTAAAGAAAAATAATATATTTTCATATTTTTGGTATCATAATATTTGGCAACATAATCAGATAATGATATCAATAACTATTCTCACTTTTAGAGTTAAATATTTTTACATGTTTCTTTATATTTTAATAATCTAATTTTCAATGATATATTGTTTATTTGTTCTAGTCATTAGTTATTTTATTTTGTCATTAGTTATTCGTTTTTTTTATAAAACTTCCCATACAGCACATCAAATGATATTTACGATGTGTTTACATTATTAGATGTAGACACAGGGTGACACAATTCCCCCGATGTAAATATGCTACGTTTACACATTGTAGTTCAACACGTATGCACAAAGGTTAAACGTCCGCCTCACAATGTAGCCACAGTTTAGCATTTACGTATACACAAAGTAAGGGATACACAGTGTGCCGTAGGATACACAGTGCTTGTGTATTACGTTTAAACTCTGTTTACACATTGCAGTTGTGACTCCCGCATGTATACGTATTTTCCTTCGTATATACATCTTGTGCTAGATAAAACTACTTCTTATGAACGAATTTAGGAAATAATACAAGTTTTGATGCCTAACTTTTCGTTCTTTTTAATAAATATTTATTCAATGATACCAATTATATCTTTTTAGAACGAAAATTAGGAAAGCAAAGCTTTGTATTTTGCAAAAGTATCTCGATCGTAAGTTCAAGAGAAGTAGCCTTAAAATTGTTCCATTTTTGTTTTGTATTAAATGTACCATTTTTCTTCCATAAAATGGATTAAGTGGTCAAAAAATAAAATACTTATATTTCTTTATATCATGAAACGTATTGCTATTCTATTCTTTGAGTTGTTTAAAACAATAAGAATATTTTATGTAACCATTAACTATTTTTTATTATTAATACCTACTTCTAGGTTAATATTGTTTTTTTTTCAGTTAGTGTTAACATTGTACTTATTTATTAATTAAAAAAAAGTCCTAACGTTTTTTATTTTTTTAAGTGACCAAATTATTTTTACGTGTATTTTTTAAAAAGAAAACAATTTTTAAAACACATTATATCTGACAAATTTATCTAATTTCAATATAACTTTCAGTTTTTAATTTTAAAAAAAATATTATTAAACTTCAAAATCAGAATAGGAGACATAGGAAAGAAAAAGGTTATTATGATTTAATAATATGTTATAATTGCTTAAACAAGACAAACATAATCATTTTAAAGCATAGAGGAAAAAGTAAAATAACAATAAATTAAGAAGTGTACTAAACAAATTACACTGAAAAAAGGCGCGAAAAAGTAAATAATTATTTGATTAATATGTATTGGCCCATCATAAATAGGCACTATTTATTCTTTTATATTAAATTTTGTTTGCATTTCTTGTATTTTTTTAAGATACTTATTTGTTATTTGTTTGTTTTTTGTTGAGAAATGCTAGCTTATAGCAAAAATCTTTTTTTCAAGTATGGTAACTTATTATTTGCTGGATATAAATTTTAATTATACTAAATAAATATATTAGGCTGATAAAAAAAAATTCTTTATTAGAAATTTTAAATTTAGATGTGTAACTTAATTTATTATTCTATTTATTCTTCATTTAAAATGTATGTTAAATCAAACTCCCGGTTCAAAAAAAATAAACTAAATAAATAACCAACCTTTGCACTTTTTGAGTTGCACTATATTCCTTAGTTTCTGTCATTATTCTTCCGTTACCATTCAAATTTTCTACTGCCAATCTTCGCATTCTGAAAATTTAAACCAAACGACACGTTTAGGAAGATCGTTTTTTTTTACAGAAAGACCACCAAAAGTACCACCAGCACAAATATCAACGGACGATGTTCGTGTACCACTAGATGCCTCACGTCTGAGATGGTCTCGTTTTGGTTTTTCTCTCATTTGGAAAGGTACGTGCCTACCATCGAGCTGTAAGAGGTTTTCACTTACCCATCTGTGTGTGCTTCTGAAAGATGGACATATATTAATAAGTTGGCGATAAGTAGGTACCGTTAAATAATATAAAATTATTTTTTGATTTTTGGATGGACAGGAACTGATTTTGTCTTTGCCTTACTACAAATAACGAAATAACACAAATAAAGTAAAAATTACTTAGATTAGCATTAAAGTATAATTATTAGTATTAGATTGCATTAAGAACACATTAAGTAAACGAGCTGATTTGACATTTTGTACGATAGGAGTTCCTCTTCTATTTAATTTTTTTAATAATAATAATAAATAATCTTCATTTCGAATTAAAATTTATTAAGCTAAATAAAGTGAAATGTCGTCACATATCAACAAATTGACATGCATATTAGAATCATTTCTAATGCTGATGGCTCATGGCTCTAAATTTATGAATATTTTTTTATTTTTGTCTTAAAACAATCGATATTAAAAACTCGATGAGCTTGTTAAATGACTTAACACATATACCGGGTGTTTTGCAAAAGTGGCTCATCCCTATAAATAATTTTTTTATTTTTCAGATTAAAAACTATATTTTGTGTGTTAGTATGTATATGACATAAATCAGGATTTATTCACGTATTCAATTAGTTTCGGCCACTTCCTGTTTAACCGGAAATGACTGCAACTTTTAATTTTTAAATGGTACCCTCGATATTTTTATAATTTATTCGATAGAAAATGATATTCTGAATAGAATGTCATATCGAATGTCAACTTTTGATACTTTCGCCTAAAAATTAGTATTTTAAATTTCTATCTAGAGTGCCACGTAGAATGAATGTTTAGAAGGGGAGTTAATCACCGCGACCTTATAGATCTATTGTGTGTTCCCCTTTCTTGAGTTATAACGAGTTATAACTCATCATACAGTCTCAGGGCTTTAAGAAAAGCCAGTATCTGAGACGGCTCCACAGAGGCCAGCTCTCCATCCTCGACATCAGACGTGCCAAGGTTCATGGCACGAATGGTCGTCGTCTCGGCGCACTCAGTGATAAGATGTTCTGGTGTTTCCCCATTTTCCCCACAAAATCTGCATTCGCCGTTGTTTCTCAGTTTCAGCCTACTGAGGTGTTCGTTGAGGAGACAGTGTCCTGTTAGAAACCCCGTGACAATCCGAAGATTGTTTTTACTTAAATCAAGGAAAACCTTTGATTTTTCTCGGTCATAAGGAACTTTTTCGAGTGTCTTAGACCGTTGGAGGACACCCATTCCAAGTTACGGATGGAGTCTTCCAGATTCTTCAGTTCCGCTATCAGTTGGTTCCCGTTTGGAAAACAGAACGGTTCTGGTCCAGTTAGTGGAGTGTTCGCTCCTTTCCTAGCTAGATCATTTGCTTTTTCATTGCCTTCTATCCCTTGGTGAGCAGGCACCCAGAGTAGGAGGACTTTATTTTCTTTGCCTAATTTGTTGAGCTTCTCTAGGCATTCTTTGACCAACTTCGAATTGATGGTTACTGAGTTGATCGCGTTAAGTGCTGCTTGACTATCGGATAGGATGGCAATTTCCTGTTTTCGATAGTTCCTATCCAAGATAAATTGTACGCATCTTTCGATAGCGCAAATTTCTGCCTGAAGGATACTGGGGTAGGTGCCCATTGGTTCGGAGTATTCAGTTTTCGGCCCAAATACTCCTATCCCTGTCCCTGCTTTGGTTTTGGAAGCATCAGTATACCACGTGATGGTATGGTCTTTTATATGCTGAGTAAGCGTTTCTTTCTTCCAATCCTTTTTATTACTCAATACTACAGTGAGGTGTTTCTCAAAGTTGTAAATTCTTGGTATGTCATCCACTGGGAGTTGGAGAAGTGGAATTTTCTTTTTGAGGGTGTTCCAAGCCCCTGACCTGAAAATTCTCCCAGTACTGTTTCCGTCAATGACCATTCTAATCATTGTCGCATTGGCATAACTACCGACGACAATATGCAGTGGTGTTAGGTCTAGAATGACCTCCATTGCTGCTGTTGGACATGTTCTCATGGCACCTGTGATGCAGATACATGCCAGTCTCTGTACTTTGCACAGGGTTTGCCTTGCTGTACGTTGCTCTAGTTTTGTATACCAAGCAACTGCTCCATAAGTAATCATGGGTCTTACTATCATGGTATACATCCAGCGCAAAATGTTAGGGGCGCAGCCCCACCTATTTCCCGCCAGTCTTCTGCATATCATGAGAGCCTTTGTGGCTTTGCTGGTAATGTTCTTAATATGCCTGTTCCAGAGAAGTTTACTATCCAGGGTTATTCCCAGATATTTCACTTCCTGTGATGGCAGTATTTCCTTTCCATCTAGATGGATTCTTTTCAAGTTTTTCAAACTTCGCTTTCTGGTGAATGGCACTACTGCGGTTTTATCTGAGTTAATACTCAGCCCGACAGTCCTGCACCATCTCTCAGCGATGCGGAATCCTCTTTGGATAATATCACACAGGGTGCCTTCATGTTTCCCCTGTGCAATGATGACTATGTCATCTGCGTACCCTATGCAGTGTATTCCCGCTAGAGTTAATTCTTCCAGTAGTTCATCCACTACCAAGCTCCACAGTAGGGGGGAGGTCACTCCACCTTGTGGAGTTCCTTGCGTTGTTTTAACAACTACAGTTTTGGTACCTATCTCAGCCTCTGCTGTTCGTGTTGAGCTTTTCCCAAAACCAGCGAATTATCGTACTGTTCGCCCCTCTTGTTTCAAGAGATCGCTTGACCACCTTGTGAGGTATATTGTCAAACGCCCCTGCAATGTCCAAGAAGGCACAAAGTGCTGTTTCTTTGCTATCCAGGCTTGCCTGTATTAGCTCAGTTAACTGGTACAGAGCAGTTTCTGTGGATCTGCCCGCTCTATATGCATGCTGACTATCGTGCAGTGGCTTAACCTGTAGATGATTTACTCTAATATGGTTGTCCACTACTTTCTCCATCGTTTTTGATATGAACGATGTGAGACTAATAGGCCTAAATGATTTGGGGTTAGCCCAGTCAGTTTTGCCTATTTTGGGTATGAAGATGACTTTAGCTCTTCTCCAGATGGTTGGTATATATCCCATCGCTAAGCTGCTTCTTGTAATGTTTAATAGATGGTGTGCAGCTATTTCCTGACCCTTCTTTAGAAGGGCAGGAAAAATCCCATCTATTCCTGCTGTTTTATAAGGCTGAAAGGTGTCAATAGCCCATTTCAGTTTTTGTTCTGTTATTACTAGCTTGGCCGTCTCCCAGTCTTCCCTGCGAGGATTGTGGGGTTCGGTCGGAGCTACTTGCGTATCAATAGATATGCTACCTGGGAAGTGTGTATGAAGTAGGAGGTTAGCTCTCTCTTCATCTCCTTCCGTGTAGCTTCCGTCAGTTTTCTTAAGTGCCATGTTGGGGATGGGCCCACTCTTGGCCATAGCTTTCTGTAGCCTAGCTGCATAAGTAGTTGAAGTGATGTTTTCGCAAAAGCATCTGAAGTCAGACCGCTTTGCCCTTCTAATCTCCCTTATTATACTCAGTTAATGTCTCGGCGTAGAGCTGCCATTCGCCGCTGGGTTTGGCTCTGTTGAAGAGTCGTCGGACCTCCGATCTAAAATTGGCCAGCTTTTGTTCCACCAGGGCTTGTTGTTACTTTTTGTATGCCCTTACTTGTGGGGCAACTAGATTCATATGCATCCAATATTGCACCACTGACTTCCTTTGCGTACCATTCTAGATACAGGTGGTTCCTAGCCCTACCTGCATCTATTTGGTCCAGGTTGTTTACGAGATTGGTGTGGTATAGTTCCCAATCGGTTTTTCTTGGATTCCTTCGAATTTCAGTTTGGAGTATGATTCCTCCTAATTTGAACTCGATGATTCTGTGATCTGATAGGGAAGGTTCCGTTGAAACCCTCCAATCTTTCACGTAACTAGTTACACTAGCACTCCCGATTGTTAAATTTAATACTTCCGCCCGCGTTTTTGTCACAAACGTGGGGGTGTTCCCTATATTGAGAACTTCAACATTGTATGCTAAGAGGAATTCTAGTAAACACTCACCTCTAGTGTTAGTATTAGTGCTTCCCCATACCTCATTGTGCGTATTGGAGTCACATCCCAATAGCAGAGGTAGTCGCCGTTGGCTGCAGAATCGCACGAGCTCCTCTATTTCCGGAGGCGGTGTCTGCCCATCACCCGGAAAGTATGCAGAGGCAACACGATATTTTTGCTACAACCCTCGATATTAAGTTGAACCATGATTGGAACAAGATCCCGGGTTGTAAATTCTGAAACACATGTGTAGTTAATGTTGTTTCTTATAAGAATACAGGCTCGGGGAAGTTCCTGCCTGTTATCATATATTACACTGGAATTTTTTCCAGACAACCCTTTAATTTGTCCCTGGTACACCCAGGGTTCCTGGGCTAGTACCATTACATATTGGTTTTTCTCAAAGAGTCTTGTGATTGTGGCAGAAGACCCTTTTGCATGGTGCAGGTTTATTTGGGATATCCCATGCATCAGGTTTCTGGGGTAGGTAAGGGTCCCCCTGTTGTAGGGAGGACAGGGTATTTCCCATCCCCCCCTGGCAACAGATGTTCCTCCTCCGTGGAGTGGTCATCAACCTCCTCCGAGGATATACACCCTTTCACGGCTGGAGTTACGCCAACCGTGTCCTTCACAGTCGAGGAGCTTGTCTCCGGCTGAGGTACTTGTGAGTTGGAGGCTGGAGTATTTGTCTCCATTTTCTCCCCCTCTTTAGCTTGTTCTTTTCTTGGACCTGATACCGGTACCGTCCCGAATCTATAATAGAGGTTATATCCTTCTTTCTCTATTGCCTCCTTGGATTTGAGGTCAATTCCTATTGTGAGGACCTGACCATGGCCCTCCTCCTTCGAGTTGAGGACTCGCCAGCTCGATGTACTCACATTCTCGTTCTGAGCTTGGATAAGGTCTAGCAGGTAGGCGGTGTCTTTCCCCTTGCTTCTTGGCAGAAAGACCGTGATGGTTGTCCCTTTAGGGATGTTTTCTCCCCTCATTGCAACCAGTCCCGGCCCCTGCCAATTTTTAAGCTTAGGTGCCGTTTCCACCAACCAATCCGCCGATTTTTCAGATGCACAATCTAT